TCACTTCATCTCATCACTTCTGCAGAAAAATGCTTGGATAATCAACATTTGTTTACTTTGTTGCTTATTTCAACAGAAAAAATATATTCTTTTTAATCCCATGAAAGAGATATCATACCTTAGGATAAACTAAACTTAACTAAATATCTGCAACATTTTGTTACCTTAAGTAAGGCAACACCAACAACAAACACATTTAATTTGTGCTCAATACACGTTCTGCTCGAAGAACATTTTCTTCAAAATGAATTGCATTGAATCATTCCACAGCAGGAGATTTTCTTGAGCCATACTCTTTCGCAAACAGGTAAGTGGAAAAAGTGAAAAAAAACTAAATTCAAGGTAATGAAAAATATCACCAGCAGCGGCATCTGGTTGAAAGGTAAAAATTACTCTCGATACAAAACAGCACGTAGCCGAGAAAATGAAACAAAAACAAAATCCATTTGGCACATATCAAAACTTTTCGGTGAATGCTTTCAAAATATTTTCGTTTGAGAAAATGTGCTATGAGATATATAGAGAGAGGCATGTTTTTTCAGATTACTTCAAATTGACTTTAAGAAAGTGAAAGGGTAGTAGTTGGATCAAAAAAATTAAAAGCTATTTGAGGATGGATAGATGATGGGATTGACCTGGATTTAAGAGCTTAAATATCTTTCTTGCCTAATAATGAAAGTTTGCTTTTTTTTTTTTTGGTTTTCAAAATATTCTTCAGTTGACCTATATAAACTATTTTATGCTCTCAAACCAATTGTCAATTTACTTTTATAATGCGATTGAAAACCCTCAAAAACCTCGAGTTTTGATGGCTTTGCCAGCATCTTTTGGTGACGAAGTTCTTTGAAAACGAATTTTGCTTGATAGTGGTTTGAGCCGATTTCAAATTAACCTTCGGAATTTGATCCTCAGTAGTAGTATCAATTTATTATGATAGCCCACATCCTTCAAATAGACCTTAAGTCCACCAAAATTTCTTCCCACATTTAAAACATTCCCTTTACATATTTTTCCAACAGTTCACTATCTCATTTAGTATGTCACAACAGACAAGTTCCCCGAACATATCATTTATTTAATAATTCTACAAAAATAAACATTATTGTTTATATTTGATGTGGTGAACCCAAAAAAAACGCAATTCTATTGAATTCTCATGTGGGATGTTAAAAACAGACACATGTCAGGAATGCTACTATGCTTTGATCCGCCAACAATATTACAATCGCACACGCATTGCTTTAAAAAAAAATCCACCCACTAAAGTGGATTTTTCGTTATGCCTTTGTCAAGCCTTTAGTAGTCTTTGTTTATTGTTTCGCGTTTTTCGCATTTGTTTGCTTGATTGTTATAGCCTTACAAAGTGCTATTTACTAAATGATTTTGTGATGAACTCAAAATTGGGGTTTCCTTCATGCGAAGTTCTGTGAACTTTTATTCAAAATCGTATGACATTTTTTATTTGTATGACGAAGGAATTTTATGGTAAACGAAATTGGGGAATTTGCAATATGTTGGTATTATGTTTTAGAAATTGTTTATATAATGTCTCCAAAATACTACAGAAGTAAACATTTACAACCAGAAAAATTATTTATAGAGGTCTACTACGAGAATATGTCGTACCGACATGTGTTGTGTTGTTTAGGCCAAAATAATGGCCTTAACATGTGAACATTTTCGGACGGTCATATTTCTCGACCTTTGACGTGGTCATATTTCTCACGGCGGCTGACCGATGAACTTTAAATAATTTATTGCGATGAAGCATCATTCTATAAAAATGTGTAAAATAAACTATTGAATTTAAATATATAGTTTGTTTCGAGACTCATAGTGAAATTTAACGTAGAATATTTCATTCTTTGAAACTATGCACGAAAAATAAAGCCTCATGTTACTTTCATATAATTTGTCGAAGAAATACTGGCAAATTTCTATGAAAAAAATTAATAATTTTTTTTTTTTTTTTTTTTTGAATTAATGGAATATTTTTGTCCTTTATACCATCCATCAAGTCGGAATAAGATCGATGTTAACTCTAAAATGAGTTTTCATATTTTTAAGGTTTCCGACGTTTAGGCTGATTTTCGAATTTTGATGTATTCTGAGACTTATAGTAAAACTATATGGGGAACACTTTTGTCGAATATTCCGAACTGTGACTGGTTTTCAATTTTGAATTTCTGGCAAGGAATATAAAAATGGCTAGAAACAAATACAGTACTCTGATAAAACAGCTGATTACCAGTCAATGTAAAAATTATTTATCACAGAATATGATTTCGGATAATCAGCGAATTATAACTTGATTTTATGCAACTATATCAGTAGTGACAGTTCAGCATGGAGGAAGGTGCAAAAGATCCCCAGTTCGTACTGGTCAATAAATGGTCATAGCTGTAAAAATACCAATTTAAGAGTTCAACGGAATTTGTGAGACGATTATCGTTGGAAATAACCTCAAGAACATAGCGTGGATGAGTCTAAATGCCCCGAAACTATCAAGAAAGCTCTTTAATTTCTGAAAAGAATCGGAAAGCCAGATTGGCTTCCTCAAAAACTCATACTTATTGGAATCCGAATGAAAGTATGAATGAATAAACACAAAAAAAAAACTTGAGAAGGTAAAAAATGAAAGGCAAGAGTACTGGGAAGCATGGAGGTGCTTTCTTTCCCTCCCCTGAAGAAAATGTACCGCCTGTTTGGGTGTTTCAACTCGAACATACACCGAAACCTGTCAAAGATTGATTGCGGAAGTACAAAATCAGGGGTTTAAAATGGCTAACACAGTTATCTATCCTTCAAAATCTTTGAAGTGTTATGATAGCATTTCAAAACATATTTAGAATGTCGTATTGAACCTTCGGGGTTCCTAATATACTCGCCAATAGCTTATACCCCCAAAAAGGTTTCTCCACTCCCCAGACTATGAGTTAGATTTTGTCCCTTGGTGATTGGATCATTTCTAAATCAACTGATATTTCATATAGTATATTTATAATGACATGCCTCCCTTTTCGTATTGTCACAATATAACAGTGCAGCCAATTTTCAGTATTTTGAAGGTTTTTCGACCCATTTTGACTATAAATTGGTGGGTAAAACATTTTTTTTCAGAAATTTGTACAAACATTCTATCCCATTTTTTGAAATGCTGATAGTCCCATCTGTATTTTTGATCTAAGTGGCTGTAATTTGGTATTAGGATTTCGCGATTAAGCTACTTCTACCCAAAAATTTCAATACATTTTCTGCACCATTTCATGTATGCTCATGGTCCTAGGCACATTTTCAACCAAAGTGGATCAATTTCTCCAATCGACCTTTTTTGTGGTTACACAAATTGTGAATATATGTTCATATTTTGACATACATACTTTTTCCGCACCATTTAATGTGTGTTCATGCCCCTAGGCATATTTAAACCAAAGTGGATCGCATTGGCTTTTTTGGGGGGTAACAAAATTGTGATTATACGTCCATGTTTTGACATATGTCCAATATAAGAACACAAACATGCATATAAAGGTACCGACCACTTTTAAAAATATACAGTGGCCAGCATCAAGAATATAAAAGCATAACATGATCTTAATACTACAAATGCCATTAAGGGGCAATATGGCGCTTAAAATTTCCTAAAAATTAATGGTCAGGACCCAAAGAAGAAAGCTTGGGTGACCTTTAAAACGTTTAATATTGTTTCCTCGGTTCATTTATTGACAGATTTAGACTCCATAATTTCCTATATTTTTTCATTTATATATTTGCCGCCACATGGTGAGGGGTACTAAAGATCGGCCGAATCAAATATCATTCTAACATCTTGACAGGTCTCAATCTATTTCAATTCTTATTAAATAGGACTCAACTTCTAAATTATGGCCAAGGAGGAAACCTATTGAAATTGGTGGAAATTGGTTCAGATTTAGATATAGCTCTCGACCCTGTCCGATTATACGCTATCCTTGCATAAAGCATTAGAAAATCGTTTCTGATATATGGTTCTAAAATATGGTTCTACTCATTAATTTGGCCCATGGGGGAAACCTATGAAAATTGTTGAAAATCAGTTCTGATTTAGCTCTAGACGATCGAGTATGTGTCCTATTATCCGCTAATTTTGCGCTGTTCACTGACTTAAGTCTACTGCTTCTGGTCGCATGACCATTATTCAGAATGTAGCTCTAGAGTTCATGTCCGATTGACCGCAAATTTTGTTTAACACACTGACTTGTGTCTATTCCAGCCCAGTTGAAAATAATACATAATTTCGTCCGAAGGTACTTTGGCTATTTGTTTTAGGATTTTAATTAGAAATATTTTAAACTTACCGGTCAATAAGCTTTCAGTATGGCTTTGCCAAGTTTGGAGAAAAAAACCAAACATTGGATCTAACAGCAAATTTTGTATGCAGTATTGTTCCCATCTTTCTGGAGTAGACTTTTGGAAGGAGCTATAAATGAAAGAAGAGAATGAAATGATTTTTATTATTTGTAGTTACTAAAAATATACATCTTAAAAACAACTGCCTTTGGAGACCAATTAAATAACATCAAACTATCAATGATCATAAACCTCAGTGCATTCTATAAACATCTGCTAATGTCAATGAATGTGGCAAAGGTAATCTTAGACATCAATATTGTGATAACAAGTTAAGATCAGAATGTGTAACCTCTGCTTTTTATGATAGGGCACATCTGCGAACACACTCAAGCACAACCGCAATCATAAAAGTTACAACAATGGCAAGAAGCCAGTATTTTACCCTGAACTTGATGACATTCTAACAACACAGTGTTCCGAAAATGACAAAAACCTAAATAATTTCATATTTCAAACCTATAAATTCATATTTTTATAAAAATAAATTCATAAAATATATTTTATGATTCCAGTATATTATATTAATATACAGATTTTAAACATTGTGGTCTATGAAATTATCCTGAGACGCGGGGCCTAAATATCAGACAGTTATATCAAATGTATGACTAGTATAAAGGTCTTCCGAATTTAGACCCCATATATTTGGGGCGTACCGGGAGAAATTCAAATTTGAAAGTTTTATTTAATGTGTGGCGAAGTTACTCTAAAAAGTGAAATAGGTCGGAAGATAGTATAAAATTCATTTTCAAGAAAAAATTTTCCTACTTTTATAGACTGCAAATTGTCGGAAACGGAGTAGGTTCATAGAAACATATATTAATATTTTGATGAGCAGCAATGATATTGATGTTCTAATTACTCCACATCAAACCATACAAGCACATTTTGTAGAAATGTAAACACCGTTCCACTGTGCCCTGTCCTTAAAAATAGACTTATGACAAAAATAAAACGAAGAGCAGAACAGCAAAACTACAAAGCCAACGAATACTACCCACATGGTACACATGGACGATGATTTAAGTTGTTCCCCATTTGTAAAAGAACAAAAAGAAAAACACGTGAATTTTTGTTGTTGCTGTGGCCTGTAACAGCTCAGCTTCGAGTACCAAATGACAGTCATAAACTAAAGAAGAATAAACAACACACTTGTGGTGAAAGTGTTAATCAACATTCACACATTTGCCACTGTGTTGTGATTACATGTGGCATGCTCATGTCGACACACATACACACACATCGACACTATCTTGCAAACTACACATATACTCAAATCCATGAATAGTCTCAGTCAGTGAATCTCACACATGTGTGTGTGTTTGTGTGATTGAGGAAAATTTCAAAAATTCTTTTCTTCTTTTCCGACCAAAAGTCGAATGCGAGAAATATCCGGCAATGGCATTGTTAGAATACCGTCAACAATATTTGCAATGCTTTTCATTTCAGATTCTTAAGTTGAAAGAATGGAGGATGTGTTTGAATGCAAGCGAGCAGTAGAAGTAGTTGGTAGTAAGCCTATGGATGTGTGTAATTTCTTGGCTCAACTCAACGAGGGCAATGTTAATGAGCAGAAAGTTGCCATTGGAGTGGAATGATGGTATTTTAAATGTTAAAGTTGAGGATATTTAATAGATTTGCGATTGTAGACACTTTATAGGATATCAATAAATATATGAGTACCTTAAAAATGTTCGAGTCAGAACAGAAATCACACAGTATATCACATTTTTGCTTTGATATAATGTCTGAATAATTAATTTTTAATTTTGAAATTTCAAAGTATATTAAAAATTTTAAAATTCTATTTTATAGTTCAGCTCCTCCTTCAAAGTATATAGCACCCACTATTCCGATAACTCCACCTCTAATATCGAGGTAAAACTTTCTTATTAACTTTATAATTCGCTATATGTGGTGAGGTACCGCCAGTAGTTGTCCTCTAGAGCCTATCTTCGGGATTACTATAGTTTTGATAACCATTTTACGGTTTAGAATAATTCGGACACACCAATCGATTCATCTGTACGTCTGTTGGTGTTAAATTGTAAGCAAAGTACAGGTCGCATTTATAATCCGAATTAGATGAAATTTGGCAGAGCTTATTTATTTGGCCCAAGGGAAAAATCGGTTCAGATTTAGATATAGCTCCCATGTATATTTTCGTCCCATTTAATAGAAATGGTGCATCAAACTCCTCATGTTTTTCAGAGTGACATATAATTTATCACAACGTACAAAATTGAGCATAGAATAACGGAGTTGCATTTGGTAGAAATACAGACATCGCCCAACGGATGTCCGATTGATATTTGTTTGAAATCGAGTTACATACTTTGGTCCCTTTGGTCGATTTACATACTTTGTAACAAACGATTGACGTGTTTATGGATTGATCTATGTCGGTTCACATTTAGATAAAGATCACAAATTTTAGTTCATGCAATTTCATGTTAATGGTTCTTCAAAAATGCGATGTCTGTTAGGATACATCTGTTTAATATACCTATAGTGGTGAAGGGTACGTCCGACTTTACTACTTTCCTTACTGGTTTTTAGTTTGAACCTTCTGATACCATCCAGAAGGAGTAGACCAATTGAAAAAATTTAGTAATTTACCATGCGTTTTTAATATCGGTCCAGGTTTTGGAGTTTTGAAATTTTAGGAAAAAATCCGATGAAATTTGTTGAAATTTGTATTTGGTGTACCATATGGTTTACAACAATCGATTGGTAAAATGTTCGGCATAGTTGTACTTTTTGGAATGTTCCCTATATTTTTATTTCAAGTAAATTTCAGTTGAGAGTATCCAAAGTTCGGTCCAGCCGAAATTAACTCTTTTTGCACTTGTTCCTAATTAAATAAGTCCTTCTTTCCGACGGCGAACATCTTTGCCAATCACTAGAACATCCGAATCTCCAAATTCCAACGCAATTAGAAAAAGTACATGTCTGCAATTGGTATGAACTAGGATTATTGACTTCGCTCGAAAATTAGAAAAATGGCGGAACTAGGAAATTTATTTTTTCTACTAAATACAATGTTGGAAAATAGGGAATATCTTCACCGATTGGTGTGTTAAGAATAATGTGCTAAGGTTTGGGACTAATTTGATGATTAGTTTTTGAGTTATCGTGCCCGCCAATCGTAAAAACACTGTTTTGAGAAAAGCAAAGCATTGAAACGCTATTCTGGGCTTCAACATGCTGTATATAGGGTAATATATGCCTAAAAAGCAAAATACCACAAATATTTTGCCATACATAAGATAAAAGACACGTGTTTGAAGTGGTATGGTTCAAGTGAGCCTTTTCCCAAACCACATATCGGGAGGAGAATTAACAGTTTTCGGTGATGGAATTGAAGCGACATCAGTAGAAGGTCTATGGGTCGCCTTGGCCTAACCCCATTGACGTAGGTATTGCTTAAAATCTTTTGATAACGAATTGTTAGATCCATTAAGGGATCATTTTCGTAAATCTCTAGTGATGATTACGCCAATGTCATATATAATCTACATTTGCTTTTTGCCTTTCTACAGTTTCACACTGCTTGACGACGAACACCAAACATGTGTTGACTTGTATTTCGAACTCCATCAACATGTCACTGGGATTGCAATAGCATAGCATAGACCATCAAGTAGAGTACCTCATAGAGACTGGATATTGAATTTGTGTACCAACTCTTTCCCAAATAAGGCTTAAATGCACTTTACGGACACCTCTCAGATCATTTTGAAATTTTTATCATAGGTAGCCCTTCTGATGCTGATTATAACAACATACGTTTTTTCGGGGGGAAATCAGTACTTCCCGAGATATGGGGTTCCAAAGTTCAAAAAATACCCCACTTTTTATTAAACATATTTAAGAATACCACTCCGAAACGTTTAATTTTTTTACAGCACATAGTCCTTTTGGAGCTGATTAGAACCACATAATTTTTTTTGGGGAACTTCGTACTTCCGAAAATATGGGGTTCAAAATTTTAAAAATAAGCTTATATGGTTATTTCTTTGATTTAAGGATTTTTTCCTTTAGGAACACTCGGATTGTTCTGGATCAGCAGAAGTATGTATAATTTACATGATTACATAAATATGTTACTATATGGGAGGAAGTCCATACTTCTTGAGAAATGGGGTTTGGAAAAAATAGGCTGGGGCCGGGGATTTAGTAATGAAGCTTATTAAATATGATTTTAATTTTATTCAATCACGTATAACTTTTAAAAAAGAAATTGAAATTAAAAGAGAATTCCACTCGCGTAGCCCAATTTTCCATCTGTCCATAGGAGAAAGTCATAGGAGAAAGTCTTAAATTTATAAAAAAATTGAAATTAAAAGAGAATTCTGCTCGCGTAGCCCAATTTTCCACCTGTCCGTAGGAGAAAGTCTTAAATCCTCGGCCGAAGGCCGGCTATTTAGAAAAAAAATTAAATTAAAAGAGAATTCTGCTCGCGTAGCACAATTTTCCATCTGTCCATAGGAGAAAGTCTTAAATCCCCGGCCGAAGGCCGGCTATTCAGAGAGAATGCTGCTCGCGTAGCCCAAATTTCCACCTGTCCATAGAAGAAAGTTTTAAATCACCGGCCGAAGGCCGGCTATTCAAAATTAAATATAAAGAAAATTTTGTTCTCATAACTCAATTTGTTGTCGGATAATAAGTAAGGGTATAAAATGTAGGTTGTTATTACATTTTGATACCCCATATTTCCGGAAGTTCGAAGTTCTCCCCAAAAAAAATTATGTGGTTGTAATCAGCTCCATAAGGACTATGTCCTGTAAAAAATTTAAACGTTTCGGAGTGGCATTCTTAAATATATTTAATAAAAAGTGGGGGTATTTTTGAACTTTGGAACCCCATATCTCGGGAAGTACTGATATCCCCCCGAAAAAATTTATGTTGCTGTAATCAGCATCGAAGGGCTACCTATGGTAAAAATTTCAAAATTATCTGAGAGGTGTCCGTAAAGTGCATTTGTTCCTTTTTTTGTAAGTAAACATATTCTTCGAAGATGATTTTCAACATAAATCCATTATTTATCTTAGCTCTCATATGCCATTATATGCTTTTCCCAGAAATTTTTCAATAGAGGCCAGTGTTTTAGATAACCCCCAAACAAGGGAAAATGTTATAGGTCAACAGCTCTAATTTCTAACCCTGTCAGATTTTTCAAATCTTATTTTCCCTATGTGAATATTTACGCCATAAAATGAAATGTTGGTCACTTTAGGTTTATTGATTTGTCCCCCGGAATATTGGCCGATCATTATTTAAACAGCCGTTCTAAGTATTTGACCAGATCCCCTTTATCGTCTAAAATATGTGATGTTCTGCATGGCCTCCACAGCGACTAAAAAATCTGAC